TTGCATTGAATGTGTAGATTGCTCTAGGTAGCATTGACATCTTCACAATATTTGTTCTTCCAGTCCATGAGCATAGAACGTTTTTCCATTTCTTTTGTGTCTTCCTCAATTTCTTTCATGAGTATTTTACAGTTTTTGGAGTACAGATTCTTTGCCTCTCTGGTTAGATTTATTCCTAGGTATCTTAAGATTTTGGGTGCAATTGTAAATGGGATTGACTCCTTAATTTCTTGTCTTGTTGGTGTATAGGAATGCCACTGATTTCTGTGCATTGATTTTATATCCTGCCACTTTACTGAATATCTTGTATGAGTTCTAACAGTTTTGGGGTGGAGTCTTTTGGGTTTTCCACATAAAGTATCCTATCATCTGCGAAGAGTGAGAGTTTGACTACTTCTTTGCCGATTCGGATGCCTAAAAAGGCTATTTTATTGCTAAATTTTTTATAGCATTTATCCTGTAGAAGAAATAAATCCTGTAGAAGAAATAAAATGTTCATTTGAATGTAGTATTCCATGTAGGAAACATTAGATTTTCCCCCTCAGACTTGTACTTTAACACAGAAAAGACTATATACTGATTGCAAAAATACTCAGTTATTACAAAAGGATGTAAAGTAATTGAACTTGTAAACTTACAGATAGTTTTCTTTATGTATGCAAATAAGGGATATTTGGCACACTATCCTCTGAATTCCCCTTTAAAAAAAAAAAACTTATAACACTATACTCACCATACAGTATACTATTAGGTATCTTTCCAAGTGAATGCACCTAGAGTTACCTTTTTTATTTTGAGGTTTCGTTGTATTCCATAATGTGAATGTACCATTATTTATTTATCTGAACCATTTATTTGGTGTCATTTAGGATGCTTCTATTTTTTTGATACTACATATGGTGGTATATGAATACATACTCCTTTGATAGACAGACTTGGGCATGTTTTTCTATAGAATAGATTCCAACATGTAAAATTATGGGATCAAAGAATATAGATTTAATATTTTAGTAGATACTGTTAATTGCCTTCTAAAACTGCAATGTCTATAATTCCATTATCACATGCAAGTGTCCATTTCTCCACACTCTTGCTAATACTGCATTTATCATTCTTTTTAATCTTTGTCAGTCTAACAGGTGAAAAATTTTCATTGCTCAAATTTACTTTATTTAGTGAGGATGAATATCTTTTTATAACAGACATCCAATTTTATGTTCTTATCATTTGTTTTAATTGTTTAATGTTTTAATTTGTTTAATGTTTAATTTGTTTAATGTTTAATTGTTTAATGTTTAATTGTTTAATGTTTGGATTTGTTTTTCTTACCTCTAAAAAATTTGATTGGTTGGAACTTTTTATATTTTAAGGATATTAACCTTTTGTCTTATGTTGTGAACATTTTCCTGGATTATCATTTCTTCTTTGACCTTTCAGACTCATTTGCCATGTGGAAGTTTAATTTTATGTAGTAATATTTATTGATCTTATCCTGTATGATTTCATTAGTCTAATTATTCCCCTACCAGTATAGAGTTCCATTAATTACTGTAGCTAAGTAATATATTTTGATATCTGGAAAGGCAAGTGTTCCTTCAATAGTCTTGTTTTGTAGCTTCTATTTTTTTAGGTGGTCATGCATTTCTCCTTCCAAATGAAACTTTTATTTTTATTTATTTATTAAAAGATGTTTATTTATTAGAGAGAGAGAGCATGAGCAAGGGGAGGGGCAGAAGAGGGTAAAGGAGACTCCCCACCGAGTGGGGAACTGGCCGCGGACCTTGACCCCAGGAGCCAAAGATCATGACCTCAGCCAAAGTCAGACGCCCAACCTACTGAGCCACCCAGGCGCCCCCAAATGAAATTTGTAATGCATTTATTAAATTTCCCCAAAATTTTTATTGGTATTTTTATTACAAATTCCTTAAAGGTATGGATT